ACTTTATTCCACAAAAAGGCACAGGCCTGAATTCTGTGTCTGTTTTTACTTTAAGGATAATTCTGAAGAACATGCGTCTGTTTTCCCAACCAGATCAAATTAGGAGTTGCCAATGGTGAAAGGGGAGGTTTACCAGAGGCAAACTGATAGCAGGAAAAAGTGCCTGCTGACAGCACAATGGAGAAAGGATAAATAATAGATGCAGAGGGTCCATGTGGCTCAGAGGCAAATAGCCCTGCACTTGGTGACTCTGAGTCACCAAGCAGGGGTGAAACTGTGATTTATCATGCTCTGTTTACTCTCCCACAGACTCCACCAACGAGGCTGGGCATTTTAAACAAAGGCTTTGCAGACCCAGGGCTAGAGCCTACGAGCCTTTCAGGGGGCTGTGAAAATGAACAGTGACTCTGTGGCTCCAAAGTCAGAGTTAATGAATATTTAATTAAAAAGCTACAAAATGTACTGCCTTGCCGACCTGTTTAATTGCTAAAATTGGTATCCATAAAATATTGATGGCCTATGAAAGTAACTTGTAGGTCTGAGTCTGATTTTCTCACTATGTGAGAATTACTGACTACATATGGCAATGGCAGGAAAATCACGGACAAATCTAAATCGAATGTTATTCATGGCTAAACAATTTTAAAAGCAATGTTATAAAAATCCTTCCAAAAATATACAATAAAAAGTCTCTGTTATTATTGTGGGCTGTGGGTACATTTTAATATGTTTGATATGATGTGAGCTAGGGCCAGTGCAGGCTTAGCCTCTCCTCCAGTCTTCCCTCTGTGCCTTTTGGAACTTCATGGAAAATCAACTCCTCTTAATCTTAACCTAGCACAGAGTGCTTCTTCTGTCTCCCAGCAGAAAGCTAGCTCCCCAGTACCCCTGCCTGGTAGAGGGAGCCCACACCAGCCCTAGGGTGGAAAAAGGAGCTGGGCCCTCCTCACCTGGTTTCCAGACACTGCCTGTAGTCAGGTGTACGAATCTCTGCTTTTTCAACACTCAGGCCATCCCACCTCACCTCACCTGGTAGTTGTTGCCACCTGATCATTCTTTGTTCTTCACTGAAAATTTTGGTACTTCCCTCATCCTGGTCTTCACTTTACAAAACACCAATATCCACGCTCAACCTCGCCTCCTTTCTTCTACTCCAATGGAAAAGGTTTTTCTCCACCTGTCTAGTTAATCCCTGCAATTAATAAAGCCCTGCTCACTCTCTGCGCCTCCCACCTCCTGTGTATTTCATCCATCAGCTCAGTTAGCCCTTCCACTACCAAGCCTTCTCAGCACTCTCTACTGTCATTTTAAAAATACCTTTTTATTGAGATATACTTTATACGCTATAAAATCCATCCTTTTAAAGCACTTAATTCAATGGGTTTAGTGTGTTCTCAAGGTTTTACAACCACCACCATACTATTCCAGAACATTTCATCACCCAAAGAGAAACCTTGTAGCTGCTAACAATCATTCCTCATCTTCCCCAGTCCCTGACAACCACTAAGTCTACTTTCTATCTCTGTGGATTTCCCTATCCTAGACATGTCATACAAATGCAATCATACAATATGTGCCCTTTTGTGTCTGGCTTCTTTCACTTAACATAATGTTTTCAAGGCTCTCCCATGTCACTGCATGTCAGTACTTCAATCTTTTTATGGGTGAATGATTTCATTGTATGGATAGATCATCTTATGGCCTGAATATTTGTGTCCTTCCCTACCAAATTCATATGTTTGAAGTCCTAACCCCCGATGTGACGGTATTATGAGGTGGAGCCTTTGGGAGGTAATTCAGTTTAGATTAGGCAGTTGAGGCCCATGAGAGGATTAGTGCCCTTAATAGAAAAGGAAGACACACCAGGGCTTCCTCTCTCTCGTCTGAGGATATAGAGAGAAGGTGGCTGTTTGCAAGCCAGGAAGAAGGTTCGCACCGCACACTGAATCTGCAGCTTGATCTTCGACTTCCCAACCTCCAGCACTGTGAGATACAAAATTCCTGTTTTTAAGCTACCCAGTCTATAGCATTTTGTTATGGCAGACCAAGCTGACTAACATATACCACATTTTGTTTATCATCAGCTGATGGACATTTGGATTGTTTCCACCTTGGAGCTATGATGAATAACATTGCTGTGAACATTTGTGTATAAGTGTTTGTGTGAACATATGCTTTCATTTCTCTTGGGTATATATCTAGGACTGAAATTGCTGGGTCACGTGGTAACTCTATGTTTAATGTTTTGAAGAACTACCAGACTGTTTTAAAATATTGCTGCATCATTTTCTTTTCCTACCAGCAATGTATGAGGGTTCTAATTTCTCCACATCTTTGCCAACACCTGTCATTGTCTGTCTTGTTGATTAGTCATCCTAGTGGGTGTGAAGCGGTACCTCACTGTGGTTTTGACCGGCATTTCCCTGATGGCTAATAATGTTGAGCATCTTTTCAGTGGCTTATTGGCCATTTGCATATCTTCTTGGGAGAAATGTGTATTCACATTCTTTGCCCATTTTAAAATTGGGTTGTCTTTTTATTGTTGAGATATCTATCATCTTTAATGATGCTCAAGCGTCTACCATTTTAAAGCAAACAAACCCTTGGCCAAGTCTGGATGCCGGCTACAGCCACTGTTTCTGGCAGAATTTTTTGAAAGAGTTCTCTACACTTACGGTTTCCACCCACTCTCTTTTCAAGCGATTGCAATCTGGCTCCTGAACCCCACACTTCACTGAAACTGCTCTCATCAAGGTCACCAATGGCTGTTTTGTTACTAAATTCAATGGACACTTTTCAGTTCTTAGCTTGTTTGATTTCTCTGTGGTATTTAACTCCGAGTCTCTCTCCATGTTTATTCAAAGGCTAGAGATTCTTGGCTTAAATGATGGCGCATACTTCTGTGTGTTCTCACACATTTCATAAAACTGGCTGATGCCCAATGGGCTTCTCTTATTCTGCTCATTCTTACGTCTTGATCTTCAAGATTTTGTCCTCAGTCCTCTTATTTTCCACCTTTACATGGTCTCACTGGGTAATCACATTCATTCCCATGAGTTCAGTTACCACTTAACACTGCTTACTCCTAAATCAATCTCATCTCTAGCTCCTTCTGTCTGTCTGTCTCTCTCTCTTGCCCAGACTACCCTCCTAGGCTCCCAGTTTGTACATCTGTCTATTCAGCAGCTCTTCCTGGACTCCTAGCAATCCTTAAGCTTTCCATGTCCCAAAATGAACATTTTCTCCTTACCTAACTCCATGAATAACATCAATTACTGAATTCTGGAGATTTAAACATTTTAAAGTCACTCATTTTGTCTATGTCCTTCCATCTTCCACAACCGTGCCCTAGTCCAGTACCATTTAACAAGACAACCCCAACATCTCCCTGTTTGGTCTCCCAGCTCCACTCTCCCGACTGTAGCCAGAGGTCTTTTCCACCATGTAAATCTCACCCAGGCATTCCTCTGCTTACATGAGCCACAGCAGGAGATGGGAGTACAGTGGCTTTGGAGCCAGATACACCAGGGTTTGGTTTCAATCTTAACACTATTCATTTACTGGCTGCAAAACCAGAGAGGAGCTAATTAACTTAATCAGGTTTTAATTTTCTTGTTTTGGAGTTTTTTTGTTTGTTTTTTTAAAAAGAGCCAGGAAAATACAATCTCATGGGTCTTTTGATGATTCGGAAGATGAAAAGTGATGCCCTTAGTTCAGAGTTGGGCACATTTTAACTGCTCAGAACATTTTTAACTATTATTTTTACTAAATCTTTCAATAGAAGGAAATCAACTAACCTCATTTTCATCCTAAAATGTACAGATATAATGGAATGACTTTAATAAACTCGTTTAAGACAAGACTCCTTTGCGCAGAGCCTGGTAATCAATTACAGCTCCGCTCTGTGCTGGTCATCCCGCTTCAGTGTCCAAAACGCACCCTGGAGAGGAGGCGGCGGTGCGGCCGGCCTTCCGAAACCCGGACGCAGAACCGGACTCGCGGCCCCCGTCCCCCGACAGCGGCCGCAGCGAGCGCGGACCCGGGGCTTCCTCCGCGCGCGTCCGTTACCCCGGCGACAGTCCCCGCCGCCCGGCTCACCTGACCTGCAGCCCTAAGTACCCAAAGCCTTTCTGGCACAGCGCAAACATCCAAACCGCAAACGACGGGAACCATCCCAGGCGGGTCGCCTCCTCC